GCTGCGTCAGCATCATCGGCTCAGCAACCCATCGCCCCCCCGCTGGGGGCGACCCCTGCTGGCCACACCGCCGACGCCGACGCCTTGGACGAGAACATTGCCCGAGCCATGGTCAACGACAGTGGGCGCAACACTCGCGACAAAGACTGGTTGGTTGCACTGTCACGTTGCCGGGAGGCCCTCAGGCCCGCCACGGCAAATATTACACAGAAACATTGGGATCGGCGTCCCATCTTCAATGCTGCCAAAATTGGAGACTTCACTATCGTCAAAAATTGGGGTTCGATCAATTACTACCACTATGACAACCAGTACCCCAAGGGCGACTACAAGACGAGAGCACGTATGAACAAGGGCCACATATATGGTCAAGTCATACATTTCGGAGTGTTCGAGAAGTTCTTCGCAGTGCAGGTGCCCATCCTTAATTATTGTTTGCGATGGATCAACATATGGTATTGTGTTAGAAATCTACTTCTCAAGGGTATTGCATTCGCTTTGCCATTGCGCGCTGACGTAGACGCTGCCCACTTGGATGTGGCAATACGGGGTCCTACCTCGCGCAAGGCTGAGATCGCAAAATGCGCTCGCACAGGCGACCTGCCGTATCTCGGACTTCCGACTCTCTACAGGGCGCGTATCCCACGCACACCGACCAGACGCCCCGCTCCTCGGACACCAGGTTCCGATGAGGAGCTGGTGGCGACACCCGCCGATGACCCCATGGCGGGAGATGACGACGCCGCACGTGAGGCGGGACAAACCACTGATGTTCCAGTTACTGTCATCATTGACACCTCTGCCATACCATTGACTGGGGAGGAAAAGGCAGCCAATGATACCATGGAGGCAGAGATAACGGCCGAGATTCACGCAGACGAGGACTCTGGGTCCTCCGTTCTCGACAACATCATTGACCCGCCAGAGGATATCACTACGCATCCCGACTACCATCCAGAGGATTCTACCAACTGGATTCGCAAGTCGTACGATCACAAAGTGTGCTTCTGGACATCGGCGCCGCTGGTGGCGTCACCGATGATCCAGGTTAAACAGATCATCCAGTTACACGCGGGTATGACCAGATACAGCTACGATCAACGCGAGACTGAAATTCCTGTAGTGGACGAGTTGGAATCACATTTGCGATTCCAATTCTGATTCGGGACAGAGACGGTGACATACAATACCAACTACAACCATACTCATACCTGGGCACGTGATTTGCCAATATGCGGCGCAGATCATTTCTTCAAGAAGATGGTGCATTTTCTCGATCCTGAATCTATTCAGGAATCACCACGGGGGATCTTTCACTGGATCTCTAATGTGTACCAGACTGTTCTGTTGGATTATCAAGGTGCTACATCAGTTCACCAACGTTTCTATTAACAAGAACCATCCTGTTCTTACTGCGTTGCGAGCACTCTTCACAGAGTGCAGGAATACACATGGATAACCAGGCTTCCCCGTATGGGAGGAGCCGGTGGCAACGCCTGCCGCGCCTGACCAGGACGACCCAGGCGCCAACCAGGACATTGCCCAGGACCCAGGTAGTGTCGCTTCAGCAGCCCCAGATCAAGAGACCATGGTGCAGGTCCTGGCTGAGAAGCACAACGTCGACCGCGAGGTGGGCGACAACGAGACCACCCTGCAGGCAGAGGCCACTCGCATTCGTGCGGACATGGCCGCATCCTACGACCAGACGGACTCCATGGATATCGACACTATCGAGTACGCTGGACTGCCGGGAGAAAGGCTATCCTTGACCGAGATCGAGGGGGTCGGAAGATCGATCGCTTCTCGTGCCACCGCTGAGCTCAATCGTGGGGCTATGAACCAGCTAGGTCATTCCCTTGCGTCAGCAGCTGGTGGCAACACTCTCTGGGGCTCGCTCAGGGACCTCGCCACGTCTGGGCCCCCCGAAGAACTCCAGCAAGATATCCCGCGAAGTCGGAATTGCGATCGCCTCCTATCTCTGGGGATCGCCACCAATGATGGGACACTTTGCGACATCTGCTGGCAGTACAGTATCTCTGTAGGCGCCACAGGTAAAGGTGGAGCCGAGGCCAGCGACCTGGCATACCTGCAGACCCTCAACCAATGGATCAGGACCCACCTCTCCCAGAGCGACGTCGACCGCTTCATGGCCGACGGAGCGCGCGTCTACATGACGGGCAAGCGGCCCAACATCGGGTGCGAGCGTAATAGGTTGAGGAAGTTGGCGAAAAAAGGCGGAAGAGAGGTACAGGAGATGGTGCGACGCGGGTTCCCCTCCTGCGAGCGCTTGCAGGTTGTTGGGCGGACCCGATGACGACCGTCCACTGCGCCACCCTTACCGCGACGTCGTTCAACGTTTCCTCAATGACTCCCGGTTCCATCACAAGATGACTGGGGCCCGTGAGGCCACTGGTCATAACCCCTGGGCCATCGAGGACATGCGCGACGCTTGCGACATCTATGATCGCAGCGTTCGGCTTGGCCTCGCTGGTCGCAGGAACTGGTGGTTGAACGAAGGTGGGATGGACAGGGGTACCAGGCAAGAACGTGGTCTTGTCACAATCGCCTTACCCCGCGGGGATGGCACTGGTGAGAAGATCACGCAGCGCAAGCTTGCCAGGCTGGCCTCTGTTGCACCTGCCATGGGATCTAACGAGACAGGGGGGGCGGGGTCAGGGGTTAGAACCGATCCTAATGAGCCCCCCACACACTTCTCTCATACACGTGGCGCCATGGCGCCGTAGCAGCCGCGGCATCCGCCGCCGCCTCGCGCTGCCCGTGGCGACGCTGCTGGAAGCCGCGCCTCTGGCGCGCTGGCAGGGGCGCCCGCTGGGCCGAGCGGCGCGGCCGCCGCGCCACAGCAGAGCGGCGGACGATCGGCCCGCACCAGCGACAGCAGTCGCAGGCCGACGACGCCCCCGCGTGCCAAGCGGGCGCGCACGACAGAGGACTACGCAACGTGGTGGCGCCACAACCTTGAGGACAGCCGATGGGGCCCAAGGTGCTGGAGCGTTCGGTACACCCGCGACTTGCAGTACAATGATCGGTTCCATCACTGGGCCCCGAGGACGCCTTGGGAGGCGCGCGCGACAAGCTACGTCGGGACCGACGGCTACAGAGTGTGGGACCATCTACATGAGGCAATTCATAGGTGAGTCGGCCGCAAGGCCCACTGCTCGATTTGGCTTGAAGTTCATCTTTACAGAGTTCGCCTCAAGCATTATAAACTCATACATTCTTTGGCCACTTCACTATACAAGATAAGTGGCCACTCGCATCTACCTTGCGAAACCCGAGGCAACCTCCTAAGGAGTATCGCCGAGGGGAGTGGCCGATTGCAGAATTTGTTTATGCAGTTTGCGTTGTCATCAACGCGACTTTACGTCGGTCCCGACATTTGCTTGGATGATTAGACGTGTTTCTTAACACGATCGTGTTTCCCAACACGACTTTATATCACATTAGTTTGCTTATTCTATGCAATATATGTTGAAGATAATTTCGCGTTCAGAATGATCTGATGCCCAGCTTTAGTTTGAAAGCTGGTGGCAACACCTGCCGCGTCTATGACGCTGCAGCTTCTGATGTTGCTTTCTATTGCTCAGAACCTCTTGCTCCGCCCACCCGTGCCTCATTCTTCTCCGCCCTCGAGTGCCGAAGCGTTTTTGGGGGGCGCACCGAGGGGGCACCAAAGCGTGCTTGGCGAAGAAACAGGGGCCCTGGGTGTTTTATGTTTCCCTTACTTGCCTGATCAAGCCAGCTGTTGTGCTATGCATTAATTTTGCACGCTGCTGTCGTGGTCGGGACGCAGCTGAAGCGATGCAGATTTTACGCTCAGCTGCCGATCATTGCTAAGGAGTAAAAGGGGTGACAGGTTCTTTTCTGCTTTCCCCGAGTCCTGCCCTTGCGGGCGGCATTCGGGACGGGGTGTGTGAATAGAATCCGTATCAGACCCTCATATCTACTCCTTATCCTCCCTCTCCTGCCCCGGCCGTTTGGGCCCAGGTATTGGATTGGTACCGATCAGACCTTCGATCGCGCAGGAGGAAAAAATGTCCATCTGTCCCTTGGTTCTGTACCTTTGTACTCCAACCCCACACACAGGCCCAGCGCCGATCCAAGAGATCCGCGCGGAGCTTCGAATGAGTATGGTCATGCCAGCCATTCTTGTTCTACGAAGGTAGTTCTAACGTTTTGGCCTCTCTGGGCTCTCCAGGGGCTCCAGGACCCAAAATTGCCCGACGACGCCTCAGGACCAAAAGTTGGTCATGGGGCGAAGCCCTGGGATCCAGGACCCGTATCCTTCAGGACCTGTTTGCTTCATGCCAAGGTAGGGGTTCAAAGGGCCTGGGGCGTGGGGCCCTGAGGATACTCGGCCAGGCGCAAAGGGGGGGGACGGGAGGGGGGAAGGGTTCTTCGAAGGAGGCTGCTTCGACTGCGCGGACTTGATCTGTAGATAGATGGTTGGCACCTTGTAAGAAGCTTACCTTTCTAAGGAGCCCTCCCCCTCCCCATGCCCCCTTTTTATGCGCGCCGCCAGGATAGCACGTCGGCCTCATCTCTAAGGGCCCGACGCGCCGGCGACCCCGGCGCAGGCCAAGGCTAAACGCCGCCAGCGGCCCGAAGTCGGAGGACATCAAGTGATCCGCGGTGTCGGACAGCCGCGATCTTTCAAGGTTGACCGGTCCACGTGATGTCAGAAACCGACGCGCGAGTCGTCACGACACGAACCCGCCGAACCGGTAGCGGTGCTCGTCCTGGAGAGCCCTCGTCGCCACGGCCGGATTATCCTTGGAATTCTGGTCGGGACGCACTTTGGGAGAGGTCCATGGAGTGGCGGTGTCGGCCATCAGAGGGTGGCAATTGCACAACCAGACCGATCTTGGCCAGGCTGGTCTTGAGCCCATGATGTGTGTATGCTCTCCTCGCCAAGTCAGGATGGCCTGTGCACCGATCTTGGGCTCAGGATCGGTGCAGGTGTATAGTTGGCGTCCTCCTAGGTCAGGAAGGACACGGAGACATCATCTCGGCTGCACGCAAGAGTGGCCCTCCGCCGGAGTGGCCGCTTGGTGCGCGGCTCCGCGTTTTTGTCTGAGGTTCCTGTGGACTGAGACTGCCGGGGGTTTCCGTGCCCTTGGATGCGCTCCAGCATCTCCGCCTTGCCGAGGGCGTGGCGGCGGTGCCCGAATCCTTTGGAAAAGCCGCCATGAGGCCCGAGTCTGGGCCAGAAGTCCAAGGATTGACTCTTCGGCAGATTCGACCTTGAGTGCGGGGTTTTCGTGTGTGAGGGCGGGGGGGTGGCAGGGGCGGCCTAACCCGTCCCTGACGCCCCCCTCGCCTTGCCCCGAGACGTGTGTAGTTCTGCGGCGGAGGGGGGCTCGAAAGGCCAGGGTGACGTCACGGACGGGGATGGTTTGCGAGGGGTCGGCTGGGCCGCGACCAGGGGGCGCGGGGGGGGCCAAATCCTCAGCACGCGAGCCGCTGCTGTCGCAGAGCCACCTCTGCGTGCAGCCGATCCTCGGACGGGGGCTCGGAGGCCTCGCTGGCACGGGGCGCGAAGGCCGCCGCCTGAGCAGCGTGCTGGGCGGCCCGGTGGACTTCAGCAGGGTTGTGCCCTCGCGTCTGTCTCGGCCAGGCGATCGCAGACACGGATCAAAAGGGGGCGCGGATCAGCGACGGGTCCCATTCCCATGGGGAATCGCGGATCCCCGCCGCCGAACGAGGCGGCACCGGACGCATTTTGGGGAGGGCACCTCCCCCGTTCCGTTGGATTTGGCGACCGCGCGCCAAATCCATGGATCGTGGATCCATGTTTGCGCGCCCCCGACTCGGGCGGGCGACAAGTGGGGGCCACCGAAAATTCCAAATTGGGGGGTGAAGAATGGGGCCCCAACGGGGCCCTTTCGGGACCGATTTTGGGCCACCCGCTGGCTCCAAAGAGGGGCCCTCAAGGGCCCCCCTTGGGGGCTTTTTTCTTCCCCCCATGTGGGTCACCCCCCCTTACCACCCAGGGCTGGACCTAAACGGTGTTTTTGGTGATTTCGTGGGCCGTTGTTGTTTCGATTTCGTTTTGCGGTAAAGGCCGATTCGAGACAAAAGCGAGGGAAAACGAAAACAAAACGAAAACGAAAAACATCGTTTAGGTTCCACCCGCCCGACTGTCCGTTGCTGTCCGGAGGCTGCCACAGATGTCCCCGAGACAGTTTTTGATCCCCTGGCGATAACGGGCGTGACCGGGGGGGGCGGGGGGCGAGGGGAGGAGGGGTTCGCACCGCGTGGGAATGCCTGAGAGTGGCTGGTTCCCAGACGTCGCCAGCGCAAGCCGTGACCTGGCCATGGGAGGGGGGGGGGGTGCGGGGCCAGTCACGGGCGCTATCGCGAATAATATTAAAAACAGTAAGAAGATTAAGAATAATACCAATACCACTGATAATAATAAGAATAACGCAATCATGGTAATATTGAGACTTACCAAGAATTATGCATGTGGCTCCTTCGGGGTGCCTTCAGGGGCGCTCGAGACTTCGTCAGGGGCCGCCCCGAGACCGAGAGGGGCATCCCTGGAAGTCCTGGGGGCACCTTGGGCCAGGGGCACCTCAGGCAGCATGGGCCAGGCCAGAGGGGCAATCCCTGGCAGCCGTCCGTGCGCTGTCTTTCCCTCCTACTTCCACCCTCTCCGCGCAACTTCCGGATGGTGAGATGGGGTGGAAGCACATGAGAAGCACAGTTGGTTCGTGTCGCGTGGAGGCGGCGACAAGCTTAATTGGGTTGTTCCAAGGGTCAACGCTGCCAGTGGATTGAAATCGGCTTAAATCAACCTGTCTGTTTTGTCGGAAAGCTGCGGTCTTTCAACGTTGAACGGTTGACGCGGTACCAGAAACCAACGCACAACTCTTCACGACAGGAACCACCCGTGTAGTTACGGGCGTGTTCTCGACCCCACACCTCACGTTTTAAAAGGTGTTGGCGTTCCCTGAATTGCATTCGTAGAGCGCAGGGCTTGCAAAGACATGTTGTCTTATTCTGTGGCGCACTTCTGGTGCACACCTGTGCGGCGACGCGGATGACAAAATGACGATTGCGACTCGATTCAATACTTCCAGTCTCATCGCTATGGATGGCTCCACCTTGCCCCTCTCTCCAGGAGTGGCCCCTTCGCCAGACGCCTTGTCGCGCTCATGGCCTCTCGGATCAAGAGGCCGCTTTCGCTGGCCCCTCCGGGCTTGCCCGTCGAAGTCGGTCCTCGGATGGCGTGGTTTCCAGTTGGGCTGCCCGCGCCTCCAGCAGCCATCCGGGCCCTGCCGGCGGCGCAGGGCCAGGGCCCAGAGCACCAGCGGCGGTTGGCGGACAGAAATTTTGAGCCATTCGCGCGTGCCCGCCAGCCCATCCAGTGACCTGCGTATCGTTGCCGTTTTGTCGCGTGGTCGCCCGTGGAGGCACTTGCTTGGTGTCGGCCTGGTCGCGCACAGCCTGGTTCGGTTATAGATGGCAGCAGCCGCTGCGCCGCCCACTGACTTCTGGATAGTTGGGCCGAAGCCCGCGTACAAATTGCAAGAGTGACCTTGACGATCAAACTTGACGGGACATGGGGTAGTTTTCAACAAGCAAGCAGCGCACCTCCGCTAAGCGTCACGACAGGCGTCCCCGACGGCGGTTAAGGTTGTGTCAGACTCTTGTGCGTCTCTTGGGTGTGGACGGCGGTGCTGTCTTTGGTGTCGACCTGGTCTTCGTCGGTGTTTTAATTCATGGTTTGGCACCTCTTGATTTTGGACATCTGGGAAGTCGGCCTAGTGTGGGTCATCGATGAGCTGATTAACCTCATCACTGTCCTCATACTTGCCAGCATCGCTTCCTCGCGTGCTTCCTGATTCGCGGTTATTTCCTTATTCCACTTCTCATTGTAGTCCCGCGCTTCCTCCTCCCCATGCCACCTCTATGTCTTCAGATCGCGTGGGGCAAACACGCGGGCACGTGGGTGGTTGATTCACATATGATGTTGTATTGTTCCCGTTTCTCGTTTTGGCTGGGCCTCTTCGTCATTGGTCTTGTTGTTTTGGTGTGAAGTATTGTGGTTTCTCTTACATGGCAAGCTGTAGTGCACAATCGTTTTCTGTTGTGCGACTTCGGATAGTCCGCGACGATCGCAGCGGGACGTGGTTGCGAAAGGGACAGTATGGTGGCACTCCTCTCAGGTGGGGGTGTGGACTTCTCTCGAACGCGCCTGGTGCGCCGGATGCGTCACGTGCGCCAAATGTTCCATTTCCCAGGCACGCCGCGTGCGCGACGCGCGGGCGTGCGCCAGGCTGGCCAGTTCACATGGCAGCCCCTTGCTGGCACAAGAGACGGTGCGCTGAGACCGCCGCAGTGAGACCACAGGCCTCAAGGTAATCCGACATGGCCCATGGGGCCGCCAAGTGGCCGCCAACAGGCCATGGGGGTACTCAGGAGGCTCCCACAGTGGCCCAACAATTGCCCCAAGGGACTCTTCACACTGCCTGGGAGGATACCTGAACGGTCCAGACGGGCCAACGACGATCCGACCAGCCCCCAGTCCACAGAAAGGCGTGCGCGATAGGCGCTAGGCCCACCAGCACATGGCAGGACGCATCGGCGACGTTTGCAACACCGCTCCAAGTCGTTGAACTAGGGTTTGAGTGGGTCCGTGGCCCCGAGAGCGAGGATCCACTGTATGATTGGAAACGTGAAGAACATACTGTACTGAAGAAGCGAGTTCACCTCCGTTCCGAAGTACCATTAAGTGGAGGAATATTCAAAAGGAGTTGTTAAAAAAAGATAGTATGGGCAGGTTTTTCTTAACTATTCATTTGGATTATTATGTTAGTAATTTTGAGTATTTTTACATTTTCGTCCAAAATCCGCCTGCAGGAGGACATGCCCGCCCTAAGAGTACCTGGAGGATCGGTGCATGGCGGGAACCGTAACATTATGAGTTTCTGGACTTTGACAGCGCAGGCGGTAGGAGCACCGGGTCATGGGCAGCCCTTTGTATTCGAATGTATGCCGTGGGGCATACCCCTGTATTTTACCAGCGCAGCAGCGTACGAGGAGGTTCGGTTCAGGCCTCATTATTGTTCAGTTCCTTGTCTGGACTGGCGTCCGTCTTCACATCTTATCTTGGTGCGCATCTTAGTTTTCCGTCGTCGCCATCATGGTCGATGTCCCCTCCGTCGCGGTTCGCCGTCGCTGCCGCCGCACTCGCCGTCGTTGCCGCGGTCGCACGCCGTCGACATTACTGTCGCCCTCGCCGTCGTCGTCGTCATTGCCGTCGCCATCGCAATCACCAGAGAAGCCTACGACGAGTTACTGCCGCCCCCAGCCCGTTGGAAGTGCCTGTTGCGCGAGAATGTTGCCATGCTAGTGGACCGGATGTTCGCCTAGCTGTCTGGGAAACCCTTTGGGAGACCTTAGGACGGAGCCGTCTCGGGATTGTCGTAGGGCTCAGATTGGGCCTTTTGCCTTCCTGGGGCCCTGTTGAGCCATCTTGGGGCTCTCTGAGGCCGTCTTCGGGCGCTCTTGGGCCGTCTTGCGCCTTTGGAGGCCATCTTGGGGGCCTGTCTGGGCAGTCTTTGGGGATATCGTGAGCCGTTTTGGAGCCTTGTTGGAACATATTTCGGATGCCTTGGGCTGGTCGTTCGGGCCTTTTGGGCCGTCTTGGATGCCCTTGACACCGAAACGAGGAGAATCCCAAAAACATTGACAAAGATATGAGTGTCAACGGTGTGTGCTGTTTGAGCTGGCTCCGAGGCCATCCAATGCGGCTATGTGGACCGTCTTGGGGCCATCTTGGGTGCACCTCGGTCGTTTTGGAAGTGTCTTGGAGGCCATCTTAGGGACCTCGTGGACCGTATTGGAAGCCTGATCGGGCTACCTTGGCAACATTGACGGCCAGCTTTCCGGATTTTGACGTCCTTCTGCCGGGGTGGCGGGGCGGGCCGGGTGCCAGCTGGAATGGCTGGAAAGAGCCAAGCCGCAACTATTGTACGATTCGGCACGCCAAGCACCCTTGTGTCAAGCTCAGGGCACAGCGGGCGGCGGACCCATTGGATTTCGGTCCATTGCGCCACCGTCCCTGTGTCGCGGCCTCCTGGCTGTATCGGGGGGGCATCTGTTCGTAGAGGGCCACATGACAGCTTCAGTCCCCCCTCTGGGGCCCCCTTCGTTGGGCGGGGTATTGGGGGTCCTCGGAGGCTCTTTTTGGGGTTGTGAGAAGGGGGGCCTTTCGAGCCGCCTGGGATGTTCTGAAGATCTGAAAATCTAGAACGCGACACTTCCATTGCACTGGCCTTTTGGGGAGTGTCTGCGAGAGGCTCAGTGCGTCTCGGCACGGTGGCGGATCCGTAGCACACCAGAGTCTAGAGCATCACGCGCCGATGTCTGAGTCAGAACGGTGAAGGGTGACGCTTTCCATGTGGTTTGCCCTCCGCTGGTCGTGGCCCGTCGCTGTCCCCACTGCCGCCTCGTCGTCGCGTTCGCCGTCGCCGCCATCGTCGCAGTTGCCGGCGTTGTCATCGTCGCCGTCATCGCTGCGGTGGCGGCCGCCGCCGTCCGCGTGCTCGCCATCGCCATCGCTGTCCTCGCCGTGGTCACGCTCAATGCCGTCGTTGTTGTCGTCGTCGGATTTTTCCTTGTCATCGTTAGAATCTCCTGACATCACACGGCTTGCCCTCCAGAATTTCCTGTGCGGGCGGAACCTCCAGCATCCCGAAGGGATATATTTGTATACGTATATATATATAGATATAGATATATATATAGATATAGATGTATGTGTAAATATGTCGGTTACAACATACCACCAACAATCAAATTATATTAACAGTATAGGAACATGTCTGGAACCACAGAATTTACATGTGTGTTCACTTTTTTGGCGCGGGGGAACTTGTGGCATCCCGCGAGGGAAGATATTAAACACTAGCCCAACATAGTAAACAACATAAAACATGATTAAACCATGCAAGGGCACATATGCTTTAAGTGTGTGTGTGTGTGTGTTCTATACAACATATATTGCGGCGGGATTTCTGGCATCCCGCGAGGAATGATACCACAAAGTACCAAAAATATGAACAACAGGTTTGAACAATTAAATAATAATGTCTGCAATCACACGTTGTAAGCTATGTGTTCATATTTTTGGCGCGGGGATGCTTCTGGCATCCCGCGAGGAACGATCTCAACAAATCGCAAAATATATTAGCACCGCATAAGGACATGCGCGAACGCATCAATCAATTAGGTTTTGTTTTATGGCGTGGAGGGGGGCTTTGACATCCCGCGAGGACAGACATTGAAACATACAGAAACGCAGTAGAACATTATACATACCGAACATGTATGAAATCATATCTGGAAAGTTTGTTGTTGCATATTTGTGCGGCGGGAGCTTTTGGACTCCCGCGAAGGAAAGATATTCCAACATATAATCAAGCATGAGCGGGTCAAAACTAATCAGAATATGTACGAATATATCTATGTATTCATCCTTGTTTGCAGTAGGTTTTGGTGGCGGGGCGTTCGACATCCCGGGTGGGCAGGTATCAAGTCCCACTCTGTCGTATATGAATAGGTACATATATACAAACATCAGAGCATGTATGCAACTTGTACATGCCATGTGCAGTTTCATTTATTTTGTTGGCGACATTCCTGGCACCTTTGAGGAACTAGAGCACACAGCACTAGAAGATGCAAGTGTGGAAACTGAGATGTGTATGAACACTCATCGCTGCATAGCTGTTTCATATTTTGCTGGCGTTGCCTGTGACACCCTGCGGGGAAATGAATTGCAAATTAACCCCATACCCAGGATAATAATGTACCCCCCCCCTTAAGTCGTTAGTTTTTTATCGTCGACCAATAAGAGTTTGGTCGGGGGCGCGGGGGCGCGGAGGCCGAACTTCATTATCACGGGAAAAGTTCGCCATCGAGGTTATTTCCTTCTTATGTTGAGATAACAACATCAAGCGAAGCGAACACGTTGTTTCAGGATGTCTCAAGCGAAACCGATGTCCTTCTGTCTCTTTGTAGTTATTTCTGTCTCTTTTTCTTTCTTTCTCTGTCTCTCTCTCTCTGTCTCTCTATCTCTTTCTCCTCCTCCTCCCTCTGGCGCCTTGAACTTGTTTATCGCTGGGGTTGATTCTCCTGGGAAAATGAGGCACGTGAGCTACCCTTCACAAGCAGATGAAAATTTTAATTTTCATCAAGCGCTTAAACATTCAATTTAATAAGTTTTAAAGTTTGGATGTTTGCTATCTCCTTCTCCTCTCCTCCTCTTGCCCTTTCTCCTCCTCCTCCTCCCTCAAGGATGTCTCAAGCGAAACCGATGTCCTTCTGTCTCTTTGTAGTTCTTTATGTCTCTCTGTCTTTCTTTCTCTGTCTCTCTCTCTCTCTGTCTCTCTATCTCTTTCTCCTCCTCCTCCCCCTGGCGCCCTGAACTTGTTTATCGCTGGGTATGATTATCCTGGGAAAACGAGGCACGTGAGCTACCCTACACAAGCAGATGAAAATTTGAATTTTCATCAAGCGTTTACAAATTCAATCGAATAAGTTTTAAACTTTGGATGTTTGCTATCTCCTTCTCCTCTCCTCCTCTTGCTCTTTCTCCTCCTCCTCCCTCAAGGATGTCTCAAGCGAAATAAGCAATAATTTGAAGATGTCTCAAGCGAAACAGACAACTATTTCGAGGATGTCTCAAGCGAAACAAGCAATCCGTTGAGGATGTCTCAACCGAGACAATCCTCAAGATATCTTTAGCTTTTTCCTCTTGATATCTCTTTATGCTGGCTCTGGCGGGCAACTTTTATTATCCCCCCGACAACCCCGAACTTTGTTATCCCTTAGGGTTTACTATCCGCAGCTA